TTCAATACAAAGAATAACCTTAATTTCATTCTCTATCTAATTATTATAATCGGAAATTACTTTGATATATGCTTTTTATATAAATATTATGATGAGTTATCAAATATTTACTTATTTAATGAACATTAAATAATTAAAATACATTTGACAACTACTCAAGAATAACATAACTAAGTAAAACCTAAATACAATAACAACTCTTTTATAAATGAATAAACTTTTTCATGTATATATTAGTGTTGTTTCTTTGCAGAATTTTGTCTGACCTGAATATTGGAGCAATCAATGAGCTTTTCAAGATCATCCAATCGAACCACGTCGTGATAAACATACCTTCGCACCTGTGACATAGTGTAAAAGCTATCAGTTATTGGCTATTCAAACAAATGATGCAAATGAGGTTAAGAGTAAACAAGTGAAAAAAAAAAAAAAAATCTACTACTTTCCATATTTATATGAACAAAGTTAGCTCAAGTTTCTAGTCTCTTTCTTTCTCTCTGTGTGTGTGGGGTAAACATAACTGTCACTAGTTACTAGCACAATTAATGAAATGTGACAAGTTTTTGGGAGGCAAAGGTAAATTGTAAGGAGTTAAATGAAGGTTATTATAAGAACAGTTAGGCAACCAACCTTGGATCAATTGAAGAGTAGCAGAAAAATTAAATGAAGTGTGAAGTGGAGAATAATTTAGGAGAAGTGGTGGGTTACTGTGCAAATAATTAAATAAAGAGACACGGTATGAATTGGGAAACTGTGGTCAAACGTTTCGCTTTCAATGAAAGGAACAGCTGATAAACCTTTGCAGGGAGAAATGGATAAAAAAGAGATCTTCCATTAATGGGAAAGAAACCAAAACCAAAAAGTGGGAATCATGGAAGACATGGTGAACTCTTATGGAAACCATATATAAATATGCATAAACATAGATATGGGGAAACACCAAATACAATGAGACAATATAGGTGAGTTCAATTAGACAATTACTCAACGAGAACCACAGGTTTCTTTAATTTTAGAAAAACAAAACTCCACTGTTATTAAAAAATAAAAATAAAAACAAGTCAGAAAATTAGGGAAAATAATAGAATCTACCAGAAAGAATCCTGTATCCCCCCATTGACCAAATTTTGGAGGATATTCAATAAAGAAATTGCATGAACCAAAATCAAACCAAGAATTCCAATTTGGTAACTTTTTGAGTTCTCCCTCATCCCCTCCTCATCTAAGGGATAGAAAATTTAAGCTCATTCTTGTTTTTTTTTTTCTTTTTTCTTTATTCTTCCCAGTCTACAAGTTTCCAGGAAAGAGATTTAAGTGAAGTGCTTGCAGATAACCATTTCATGGGAAATTGCTTTGAAATTCACAAGAAATGAGAAGTAGATTGAACCATTTTCAAAGTTCAAAGGATTAAAAAGAAACACTTGAAGCTGCCTGATATATCCTCCAAAGTTGCATGTAAGAGAAAACATAACCAAAGAAGGGTGATAAGAAAGTTACTCAAAGAGAGAATTTTGATAAAGTCCTTAGAGATCCAGATCATAGCTGCATCAGAATTTAACCAGCTGAACGCAAAAGAATCTCAAAAGAACAAGAACAAACAACAACCAGCTGAGGAAAATTAGGAATAGATAAAAATTAAAAGAATTTCCAAATACCCATCAAACAATTAGAGCAGATAAAAAAAAAGAGAGGTGAACTTGTAAACATCATCACGTGAATTTTCAATTACCCTTCTGAAAAAAATAAAATAAAAATTGAAGGGTGACAAGGTGAAAGAGAGAAAGAAAAGATGAAAGGGAAGTGAGTGTATAAGCAACAACAAAAAAAATGGGACCTTTTTGAAATAGAAGAAAGAATTGAAGTGTGAGAATTGAAAAAAAAAGAGAGAGAGAGAGGGGGGGGGGGGGGAAATGAATCATGATGATGGAATTGGGCATATAATACCTGGAGGAGAGGGTGAGAACGGTGAGAAGGAAGACAGTGGGGGCAGATGCTAAGGCAACAGTGCAAGCAAAAGACGTTCTTCTCGTTCTTCCTGCGATTTTGGTGGACCCCACAAGCACCAAAGAATGTCTCAGCCATAAGCCTCTCTAGCCATGCAGGTTTCTCATTCATGTCTCCCCCACCACACCCTCCTGATGATGAGTAAGTGCCCATCATGTCTCTCACCATTTCTTTTTCTCTTCCAATCTCACCTCTCTTATATAGTGATGATGCTTCTCTACCTATTCTCTCTCTCTCTCTCTCTTCTTGCTTTGGATATTTATGAGTTGAGGCCTCTCTGCCTCTGCTGGTTGCTGCTTAACTAGCTTGGTTTTGTCAACCGGTTGATGTTGATTTCTTTTTTCTTTTTTTCTTTTTCTTTTTCTTTTGGGGGGTGATGAGAACCCTAACACATAACACCTCTCTATTATTCTGTCTATTTATAGGAGAGGAGCAGAGAAAAGTAAAGACAAAAACACAAATGGAAAATGGTAAAAAAGACCCATTAAGAAATTGAGAAGAGTGAAGAGTGAAGAGTGAGTGTGTGGTGGAAAGATAAAGAGAGAGAGAAAGAGCAGAGATAGTTTTAATGGCGGGAAGACAGCCCACCAATCTGTACTGTCTGTGCATACTAACATATTTTGCCCCTCACTGATCTGAGCACTCCACTATGACACCTTCATTTATTAAGGTCTCCCACCTTCACATTTGACCAAATGTCCTTACCACTTTACAACTTGTTAACTTTCTTTTAAAAATCAAAAATCAAAAAATTATTTCATTGTTTGTGTATTTATTTTAAAAAAAATATTATATTTATAAATTAGATTATCTATTTCTAAAAGTACACTAGATTATATTATGTATTTTCAGGAGTATATAATATAATTTATAAAAAAAATTATAAACAGATTATTTTTCTTTATTTTAAGACTTATTTTTATACTTTGTTGATTGATTAGGAGTTAATATTTTTTTAAACTATATTTAATGGATAGTTAAAATTTATTGAAGGAAAATATATGATTTATATAACTTTTGATTTTATATGATGGGCAGTTTAATTGAGGGAGTGTCTATTGTTGATATCATTTGTTTATTGAGATCTTTTAATTATATTTTATTAAATAGTTGAGATAAATTAATAATTTATTAAATAATTCAGTTAGATGAATCATTTGATGAAGTTTGAACAATTAACACTCTTTTATTAAAATAATATTAGAAAATTTGTTTTGAGAGTTTAGTACTTAAACTTTGAAAATTCACAACTTATTCTTCGAACTTTAAGGTGGATAAAATGATCCACTCATCGTCCATCCAAAATCTTATGAAAATTGTTACATCCCAGTCATGTTTCGGCTATGATTAATCTTCATTATCACGTAATTATAACATTTAATAATTTGTTTAAGATTTTCAATAAACATTAGTCACGAGGACCATTTTACATAAGTTAGGAAGGTTGAGGGTTATCATGTGTATTTTCAAATTTAAGGACTAAACTGCAAATTGTATAAAGTTGAAAGTATAAATTGGACCCACTAATTTTTTTTTGGTATGACATAGAAGTATCTCATTCAACCTCATCTGGTCACCTTATTCTCGGAATATGGATCCGAGGATTATCCCTCATTAATACAACGTGAACCCACTAATTTTCATATTATCCTTTAATTTTATCTTAGTATTTAAATTAATAAATTTGTTTATATTAAGAAATGCTTGAAGTGTCAAACTCATATAAATCAATAAATAAAATTTGTCACAATTTGAAAATTTTCAACCTTTTATCTTACTATCAATAAATTCCCTTTATAAAAATGTATTCAAGGGTAGTTATCTAACATGACCTTTTATATTATATATAAAAGAACTACTTTTATTTAAACGTAACTTTTAAACAGTTATAGTGCTATAAGCTTTTTATTCACGATAATTATTAAAAAAGTTAAGTGAGTAATAATTCTTCTACGAAATCACACACTGAATTTACCAAAGAGCAGTAATTTAAATAGTACTAAGGCAATCCATTTTATGTTGCTTTACCCACACTTAACCCTACTATGTATACATTTCCCTTTAGACATTTGTTGCAATTATGTCGGGGGCGGGGGGATCACTTATGTAACCTTAGTAAATGCGCTATCATTGAATTAATACTTACCAATAATATTGACACAACAAAGCACTGGACTTTGTTAAAAAATATTAAAATAAATAATTTTGAGTAAGGTATTTTCTTTTTTGGTAATAAATGACTAAGGTATTTTCTAACAATTATTTAAAGGGTTTAAAATCTCTCATGTTGTAGAAGATAAAATTATTTCTTATACATACTAATACACATAAAAATATATAGAGTTTATATTTTCTCTTTCTTTCTCTTCTCTTTATATAAGTCCTACACATTTTTATGTGTGTAGAGAAAATAATTTTATCTTCTAAAAAATAAGAAATAAAAAACCCTTATTTAAAATTAGAATTTTGAATCTTGGGTATTAGAAAACTTACAGTGATGAATGATGCTTTTATTGGAAAAATTGTTTGGAATTTTCTTAATAATCATGACAAGTTGTGGGTAAAGATTTTGAAAGCTAAATATGGCAATGTTACACATAGGCAGGAAGATTTCACTTGGAAGACTGGAAATTCTAATCTCTGGAAAGCCATGTGTGAAATCTGGCACAAATTGAAGCCTAGACTGATCTGGGAAATAGGAGAAGGATTAACAATCAAGTTCTGGGAAGATAAATGGGTGGAACATAAGAGCAATTTAGCAAGTAAAACTCTTAGGTGGCGTTTGGTTGAGGAGAAATTTTTTGAAAACTAGGGAAATAGAATTGATAGGGAAATGGTAAGAAAGTGAGATAGATAGGAAAATGTAAAAAAAAAGTTGTTTGGTTGGATAAAATTTTACCAGGTAAATATATCCAAATTTTGAAAACCTATGTTTGGTTTTGGAAAAAATATAGATAGGTAAATGTTATAAAATTACAATTTGATCCCCGATACCCTTATCCTAAACAAACAAAAAGTGGATCGTATGCCATTTGTCCCCAATCAGAGATATTTTCAAGCTTGAACATCTTCCAGATCAGGTGGCATGTTGTATACCCCGATTGTGTTGACAAATTTCTTTGGATGCAGTTCCACTCCTTGAGTGCAAGTGCTGGTGAAAAACCTTGCAAGCAACCATATTTGATTTCTTGCAAAGATTTTTTTACCCTTTTGACTGGAAAATTGAGTGCAGCTTTATGGCCTCTCATGGAAAATGCAGTTTGGTCATAAGCTAAAGCAGCAGAGTCTGCACTATCAAAGGTTCCAAGCCAAACCCTTGTGTCATTCCTCGTTGTATCTCTAATCTCTGCTGCAAATTTTCCCATGGATACTCCTTTGCAAAATGGTAGAGCAGATACAACCTACTGACTCCCTAAGCTGACCACACACATCATCTCTTGCATCGTATTATCTGTCTTTCCTTTTCAAAGGGTATATTGGTTACAAAAAAATGAAGTCAACAGTGGTTTACCCATGGTTTTACAAAAAAACCACATAGCAAAACGCTTTTGTAACAGTGCGGAAAGCTGTCTTTTTGCTTACAAATTGAAAAAGCTATGTATTTTGGAAAAGTGGCTTTTTGTATGAATCTATTCAGCCAAACACTGGCATTCTGGAATCCAATGATCACTTGCCTAGGTAAATTTTGTAAAGAGGCCAGCCAAACACCACCTTATTCCTTTTCCTAATTCAGAAAGTGGGAGGAAAGTAAGTGAGTATGTTACTGATGATGGAATGTGGAACTGTGAGGCTCTTTCAAGTCTTCTTCCGAAGAGTATTATTCAAAGAATTAGGAGTATTCTTCCCCCTCAAGGGGATGGTGGAGCTGATAGTTGTAGGTGAAATATTAAAGGATCCAATGAGATAACTGTCAAGCATTTGTATAATGCTCTTCTTAACCATGATGGTGAGAAGGATAATGAGAATGAAATCTGGTCTAGGATTTGGAAATTGAAAGTGCCTAACTGATTTAATGTTCTTCTTTGGAAGATTGCCCACCACCGGTTGCCTACTAGAAGCATGCTGGCCAGACTAGATATGTCAACTCCAATCTGTCCTCTGTGTCAACTGGATGAAGAAACCATATTGCATATGTTTTTTAATGCAGATTTATGTAGCTGGTTGAAGATAAATTTGAAGAATGATGTTCTAATGCGGGCAAATGATCAATGGCCTTGCATGTTTGCTGTCACAATGGCTTGTGCTTAGAGATGGAGAAGTGAAGTGGTTCATGGTGAGGAGGATAATTGGTTGGCTTATAAGAGTCAAACAATAACTCAGAATGTTCATGAAATATCTTTTGCACGGAAACAGTATCATGTTGGTAGGACTGTTAGGAATCCGGTTCATATCCCTGTGGTTTGGCAACCTCCAGAAATTGGTTGGATAAAGATTAACACAGATGGGGCTGCCAAATTAAATACTGGAGATGTTGCGTGTGGGGGAATCATGAGGGATGAAACTCGTAGGTGGATCCAAGGCTTTTCCTATCACATAGGTAAGTGTTCAGCCTTTGTAGCTGAATTTTGGGGTGTTCTCAAAGTTCTTGAAATGGCTTGGAATGGAGGGTGGAGACATTGTTTGTTAGAAAGTGATGCTAGCTCAGTGATCACTTTGCTCATCAAGAGTGGAGGAGCAGCTCAAGAGTCTCGTTTAGTGACTCACATTCGAGCATGGTTACAAAAGGATTGGGAGGTGCAACTGGTGCATGTTTTTAGGGAAAACAATGGTTGTGCAGACTGGCTGTCTAAATATCCATTGGAGCACCATTTGGAGAATAATTTTAGAGTCTTTGATTCCCCTCCCCTTAGGATTTTGCCACTGTATTTGACTGATTTTTCTTTGGTTTGTAATTCTTGTAGGATTTTTCTGTATTGAGTTTGTGTTTGGGGTCTTTTGCCCCTTCTTATTTACCCAAAAAAAAGGAATTTGAATCATTATTGACGAGTTTATGAATGATCTCATGCCAATTTCAATTATTCTTAAGATTGGAATGTGATGTTGACGTGGAGATTTAATATTTTATTAAGTCACTTATTATTATTTTTTTCTTTTTTTTGATACAAGTGAAAATTAAACACAAGTAGTCCTATTGAAACCAAGAAATATAGGCATGCCTATCATCCACACCAGAATAAATGAAGTTTTTTGAAAAAACAATAACCTAATACAACCTATTTAAATCTGTTACCACTAGACCAATCTTAATAAGTTAACTTATTACTTCTCTCACTGATATGCTTGCAACTTGAATATATTTAAAAATGTAATGTTAGCTAAGGAACGGTTATCTATACATCAATTCAATTCAATTAGTTTATTATTAATATTTAATGAATGGAATATTTTTGGATAATTTGTGAAAGTTAAATTTTCTTGATAATTTAATTAAAATATTTAGAATAAATCTTATCATAATTTTTCCTTCCCAAATATCTTTTAGTAAAAGAACTGAAATATATAATATTTTTTATATGTTAATTAAGACAATTTGTCGTTCATTTTTTAGTTCAAATTTAAGAGAATAAAAAATTAAATATACATATACCATGTTTAATAATTAAATTTGATATGTACGGATGACATATTTGTAATTTGGATTTATATTTGACCACTAGTAGTGAATTTATTTTGTACTTATTATGAAAAATAATAGGGAGTTTTGCTATAAACAATCCTCTATGAGAAAAAAAAAACTAAAGAAATTAAACAATAACTCACCATTTGCGAGGGGATTAATTCGGAATAGTGTTTTAATAGTGCAGCAGAGCTGGATGGCGTCAATATTCTAATTAGTTAAAAAAAAAAAAAAACCTATTCACTTTTGACAAGCAATTGGGTTTCTGAAGCTAAATGGAATACCTGAACTGAAACTATGCAAACCAAATAGTAGAAAACTTTACTGAGCAGTATTGTAATGATTGGCTTTTGAAACGAAGTTCAATTTTAAAAAATAGAAAAGAAACGAGTACAGTTTCTTTTTTACCAATGTACAGTAAGTTGTGTTCGATCTTTCAAAAGCTTTTCACAAAATATGGTCTGTACTGTCCAATCAATCATACTTGTCAAATTTAAATGATATTTATTCAACGGTCTCAAAAGTTCACATTCCTCACAGGTTATCATGCATACAGTCTATCATTCAAAATAATGGGGATGCCTGGGGAAAAAATAATGCAGGACATAAAAAGTTAAAAAAAAAAGATATATATTATGGGATTTATTATTCTTCTTCTAAAGGAGATAAGACTTTTTCCTAAAGACTTAAAAAAGATGTGGATTTATTTCAATTTTTCTTCTTCTTTAATGGGACCTATTGCTAAATTGTGTCTACGACTAGAGATAAAAAATTTTTGTCGAAGGAGACAAATAAAGTCTATATATTATTACTATTTACTTTAATCCTATAAAATTTGTGTAATATATATAGGAAAAAACATTTTTTATGTTGCATGAGAAGTGTTTTCTTATGTTGTGACTCTTCGATTTGTGTGTAAACTTTTTTTTTTTTAAATAAGTGTGGGACCCACAACAAGTTGAGTCATAACATAAAAATTTAATTCTCATGTAACATAAAAAAATCAAAGCCCATATATATAACTGATTTTCCAAACTACCATGGAGAATAACTCACAAGCCCTTTTTTTTTGGGTTATTTTACGATGTAAGTACTATATATGTTAACAAATTGTGCTAAATACAAGTTATTATGTGTATTTTGAGTAGGGCCGGCAAAATGGGCTGAGCTCGCCGGGCTGACCCGCCCCGCCTGCCAAATGGGGCGGGCTGGGTTGAGTTTTTCAACCCACCAGCCCGCCAAACCCGCCAGCCCATATGGGTCAGCCCGCCAAGTTCTTTTTTTTTTTTTTTTTTAGGTTACCCAATTGTTATGTAGCTCCGTATCTTAGATTTTTCTGCATGCAAGTGGCTTTTTTGAATTGTTGTAGACTGCTCATACAACACTTTGTTACTCTATTTTATCCTGATATGATTTTATTTTTTTATTATTATTTTTGGAATGAAAGATGCATATTTATATGCAGATTATTAAACACTGATCTTCTTGGTTTCTTAAGCACATTAGGATTTTATGCAGATTTTTGTATGCTTTTATGCAGATTTTTTTATGTGATTTTATGCAGAATTTAATTTTTTGTATTTTATTTTTATATTTTTTTTATTTTAGGCGGGCTGGCCCGTAGCCCGCCAGCCCACTCATAAAACAGGCCGGGTTACTCCTTTCAACCCATTTTGTCAAAACGGGCCGGGGCGGGCCAACCCATTTTGGGCGGGCTAGTGGCGGGCCGGGGCGGGCTGGCCCATATTGCCAGCCCTAATTTTGAGAGGAATTTAAAACTTTAATTTCAGGACTTATCCAAAATCAGACTAGTCCCGAAACAATGAGCCGATTGAAATATTTTCAGAAAAAATTATGTGTATTTTGAATTTAAAATTATAGATGTTCTGAACCCCCTTCCAGCCATATTATTGGACTCAATCCACCGGTAGGTAAAATTTTTCTACAAATGAAAGGTTAAGCTTCACAAAAATGAACTTTTGAATCCAATCCTTGTTCAATGTTATTGTGCATACACATATTTTTTTTTGACTTTCAGCTTCCTCGTAATGCACAGTAATTTATCAACACTTGCCGTTGTCTTCCCATAAGCACCGCTAGTCCACATATTTTAGAGTAACTATTGATCCTCTATATCAAACAATAGATGAATTTTTATTTTTTTTCAATGAATATGACTAATAACTTTACTCCTCTCTCAAATACAGGTATCATGTAAAGTATTTAACTACTAACAAATTCAGAGATCACTAGAATTCTTCGTATTATATGAGACAACAAACCTAGGAGTGCCCGGATTATGTACTGGCCAATGCAAAAATCACATAATTTTCTCTTCTTTATTCCAAGGAATAGCATCATGAAGATATAAACAGTGTTATGAGTTTAGGGTTGTGTTTGTCTCTTACTAATAGTTGTACCTCGGTTTCTAGGCCGGTCATATGACCAAAACCTCCTTCACTTGTATCTATCCAAAACAGTAGTATGCATGGTCTGTTCCTCCTCTCCTTTATTTTTTTATTATTGATTTTCAGTAGAGAAGACACACATATAATTGCAAATGCTGGAACGTTGTGTAGTTATTTTTATTCATTAAATTCTTCGAGATGCTAAAATGAGTAATATTGTATTTATTGAATGACTCAAAACACCCAATTGTAGTCTTGCTGTCTACAAATTTTGGGAGGCGTGTCTGATTTTCAATATCCAAATTCGTCTTAATGCTACTGACATTTGCAAAATTGCATA